TTTTTTCTATTTTGATCATTAAGGATTATCTCTTTTTTATTAAAATAGTAATTAATCTAATACTGCAAAAATTTAATGAACATCGAAAGCTTTACTCGCAAATTATTATTTACTGTTTCTGCGACTTCTTATAATTGATTATATGTTTCTAGAGAATAAAGACAAAATTTAATATAATAAAAAAGTTATAACTTTTTTTTATATATTAGGTGAATATTTAAATAGGATATTTTTAAAATTTTACAAAATACAGAGATTCTCTCTCCTTTTCTCTTTGCAATGATGTAAATTCGCAATAGAATACGCAGTATGTTGCTGAGAAGAAAGAGGTTCCTCGTAATAATTATTTCTGATTAACTACTATCCATTTTTGGTAAACAATTTGTATATCTAAAGTCGGCACAAAACGCAATTCATTGTATAATTTAATAATTGAGAATGCTATTAATTCAACCAACGTTGCATTATTTAATTAAAATATAGTAGGCAAAACTTTACTTTCTAATTTATGATAATGTTATCGAATCGCTGATTGTAACTCCAACAATCGACAATGGCGATACAGTCTAACGATGAGAACAGAAGAGTCATTATCCGTGACAATATACCTCGATCACGTCCGTGTAAACGCACTTTTGAACTTATTTTATTTGCCATCTCTGCTTTTTATACGACTTCCTGATGTTCTTTTATCCTGCGAAAGTGTCGGTCGGATTATGACGGGTAAGTTAAGTGCATCGTGAATCTACTCATCAAGCATGAAGACGTAACCGCGTCAGAAATGAACGAGGTTCTCTGTCAAAATTTATTAGTTAAATTTATAATATCCGTTTAATTGGACAAAACTCGTATTTAATATCGTAATTTTCTTTCAAACACGTGAAAAAAATATTTAAAAGCTGATTTATATATCATACTCCTGACGTAACAGATCTCGTTGGCGAGAATCACAAAATGCATCTGCTTTGGTCGAGTTGTAATTTTGCATTGGCTGTTTTCGATTACCATAGGAAATTGGTTATTTCATCTTTTTTTTAATTCCACAGAGAAATTCCAGTGATTTTAGCGTACCATCGAGATTCTGATCTCTTTTTGTTCCCGCAGTTATCTCGGTTGTACATACTCATTTTCTATTGTGCCGGGTTAGAAAGTCTCACAGTAACGCGACGCTTCGGGAATGAAATCTCTTATTATGAGAATTGCCGTATTACGAGAGAGGATTATGAGGGAGAGACGCACGGAATTAAGAGATGTGGAGAACCCGCAAAATTATACCTGTCACGCGGACGCATGTTTGCTACCCGCGGGTTAGCTTAATGAGAAGTAACATAATAAGAGAGTTTCATAACGAGCATAAAACCTTGAAGATTCACAAAGATAGCACTATCAGAGAGACGAATATCTTCTAACTGGAATACAAACTATAAAAATGTATAAAAGGAGAAAAGAAAAGATCTATGCAACTTGTTGATCATCAAGTTGTAGCAAATATACATATGCATTTTATGCACTTCCGCTATTTATAAAGATGCTTTATTGCATTAATTTGTAATAGCAATAAATGCTGCTTTAATCAAACCGAAATCAATTTTTCCTCGACAAAAATGTGAACGGTGCCCATTATTTATTGCTGTGTTTTTGTTTTTTGTTACGTTCCTTTTTTATCTAAACTTTTTACCACATATATATTTGTCTATGTAATATTTTAATCAAAAAAAAAATATTCAATGTTCCGGATGATACATAAGATCCATTATAGCTTTGACATGACTTTTGATGTCACGCTGAAAGCTGTCTGGCTGCGACTAGACATTGTACATAGAACGAGATAAATACACACGCATATATATATATATATATATATATACGTATCTGTATGATCGTTTAAAGCTCTTATATAATTCCCACGCTTTGAACTCTTACTAAACGATGCAAAGACCATCGGATAGCTACACCCGTAGAAAGGGAAATCGTCGCTCGGGAGATCAGAATTAAATTTATTTAAAGTCGCAAACACATGCGCTCTTGGAGAGACGCAGTGTATTTATACAAAGCACACACTGCCAGGCAATCGTGCAAGATCGCGAATACGTACATATATATATACACATATACGCGTAGGCATGCATGTGTGTAAGCAAACAGAGCCTTTCTTCCTTATGTGAGCGATAACGTGAGAGTAGGTAGACTTGCACACAATTATCCGGCCATTGGCCGTTTACGATTGTATATGCACACGTTGGATCAATGGCCGATTAACATGCGAAAGTCTATATGTTCTTTTCTTTTCTTATTAATAAGCATAAATATAATTTTTTAAATTTTATGTATATATATATATATATTTTTTTTATAAAAGTACGTCTCGCTTGCATTTATTTTCAATGTTGCCAGTTAAAATTTGTGAAGAGAAAATCACAAATTTATTTAATTATCAACTGTACGCCACGTACTACCATCGGCCGCGTCAATTGCGTTATAAATATTAATTGGATGTACGGTATATCGGCGATACATTATTACATAGACTGACGTAGAAGCAGAGTTAACACAACCACGCACAAGCGGATCTAATGAAACTTCATTCCCTGCATCACAAGTTTCAAAATATAAATGCCTCTTGATAAACCATAATACGAGAATGCATATACATACTATACATATATATACATACGAGAATGAATATACATACTATATATATATAGTTATCCCTAATTAACAGTAGTTAATAATAAATTATAGCGCAGACGTAATTAGTTGATTGCTTCCTATTTCTAACATCGAATTTGATCGAAAATTAGATTACGCGGAAGTAGAATTTCTAGACCTTCACATACATATGTACGGCGACGATATTTCATAATTTTTGCTCGATAACTCTTGATAATAATCTCGATAAACCTGATGACATTGAGCGAATAAAATACTTTCTGCAGCGTGTTCAATGCTAATTACCATGATTCAAAGTGGAATATTAATATTTTTACTTTGAATCATGGTAAGTGGAAATATTAATATTCCATTTGAATCATGGTAATTAGCCGATTAAATTATTTGTTTTTATTGATCCACTTGCGCCACAAGCCGACATAATTTACTCGTTTTTTTTCCATGCGTCATTCTCTTTTTTTTTTAATAAATATATAATATCACAATTTGCAACTAGACTTTGACACGTAGAAAATAAAATTTGAAAAAAAAAGAGAACGCGCTTTGCTTAAAGTCAATTGTTGAATAAATCTAGATAGACAAATCTAGATAGATGCTTTTATTTATCCTCGAGTAACAATAGAACCAATATATGCGAAATGCATACGTGCATACATACATGCACCAATTATATATATGTGTATATATATATATACATGAAATTTTAAATTTGTTATTGTTTTATTTTAATTAATAATTAATTCAACCGGCATTTGTCATTATGCCATTTTTACTCTACTTATTTTTTCCTTGTTTCTTTCTTTAAAATATTTTTTGGTCTTTTTTTGGCAGTTTAAACATTGTGAGAACAAAGTGCAATATTTCTTGCCAACACGTTTCAAAGGACGAAAATAACTTAGAAAGATAAGACAAACATCCATTAAACAGCGTGAACCTGATCTTTATGTTTTGTTTTATTGATAATTATACATTTGCTGACGTTTGCATGTGTTGCAAAAATGCGCGTATGCAAGGTTAAGTAAAAAAAGTCGGACAATCTGGCATGGCGCAATCCCAAAATATGCTCAGAAGCTCATTTTTCCTCCTAAATTTTTGAAAGAAATAAGCAAAAAATTGCATCGATATTTAATGAGTTTTGGCAAACAACAGAGTCCTGTTTTTCACGCATTTAATTTCACACGATAGATTTAATTCTCAATGCAAAATTCTTTTTTTCCTAAGATAATTACATTCTTGAGCATGCCTCGCCATATTACATTCTATGTGCGATTATTCGTGCAAAAAAGAGCACTTGCAATTATATTTTTTATGCAAAGATTACGTCTATCTCTATTTAATGCGATATTAAGATGACTAGCACTGCAATAAATAAAAAAAATGGTGCAATTATATTAATACCTGTTGCAGATCAAATTTCTCCTACATTACAAAATTTTTTACAGCTCATCGAGAACTCGTGCTTGTTTATAAAATTATGCTTTTTATTGTTATTTTTTGCAATATAATAAACTTAAATTCCGGTGTTCATAAAATCGATATGAGAAAATTGAAGTTTAAATCTAGCTGGAGAACCTGTTGATCGGCTTTTATGATTCATCAGGTATACAATATAGTGCATTCTCAGAATATAGATCAACCGGATACGTTCCGGCGATACGTCGCGTCGTCGTCCGTTAAAAAGATCATTTTTTAACTACCTATATATCTCGCCCACGTTTCTGGAACTTCCGCATTTATATTATATCAGAAGAGATAAGAAAAGATTTCATTCTGTTAAAAATAACTTTGAAAGCAAGATCGAATATATGTATGTATATGAAATGCTACAAATAAAAATGTAAATAAATCTAAATCGTAAATAAATATTAAATACGATATAAATTTTAAACGTTCCAGTTTGCTTATTACGATTGTTTTTTGCTACATACTGCAGACTAGAGTTGTGTAAGAAGTTTTTATCGACATCAATTATCAATGTATTAATCGAAAACTGCTGATAAAAAATTGTAACGTATAATATTACGTGTAATTTGTAAGATATTGAAAAAAAACATCCGGTTTAGAAGTTTGATGAGATACTTAAAATTTAATAAAAATGTTCAATTAAAGTATAGATTTTGTAAATTATAATTTGTTTTGTCAGGCGATTCGAAATTAATGAAAAATAATAATTATATATATATATATACAATATAAAAAAAAAAATATGTAAAACATGGAAAACGAAAAAAAATATACAGAATATAATTTATAAGAAATATTAAAGTAACAAAAGAAATAAAATAATATTTTGTGTAATCTCTAATATATTTTTCCGTTTTTTTCTGCAGATGGGAGAGAGAAATAGAGAGAGGAGGAGGGAGAGGAATTGAGTTATTGATTATCGCGCGTTGAATCATTCAAAACATCGAGTAGCGGAAAATCACATATTACATAAAAAGCGGCACGGCAAGAATAGTGGCAACAAACGGGGGAAGGTTAAATATTAGACTAGTGCAAGCTTCGTACCCGTTTATATCGAGAAGGATATGTCACTCGTGAATATTGACAGCGAGAAAGTCAATCAATTTAATCTCTCATCAGTCGGATTACTAGTCGAATCTACGGATTCAACGGAATCGAATCAATGGACTCAAACAGCTTCGAGATAATAAGAACAACGATTTCAGAAGGTACGAAATTTATCATTATTAATCCTAAAATCTCGTAACTCGTGTAATAAAGCATATCATTCTTTAAAATTTTTTTATTTGCATTCTTCTCATATTTTTGTGTATTTATCACAAGCCGTATGTGTAAACATTTAATTTTTATGATTTTAATATGCCAAATATAACAAGCAAGAGTAAATTTACATATCACATATATAACGCAAAACGGTTTTGTAACAATAACAATTCTATATTATTGTCTGACCAAAGATCAATTACTTATGAAATAATTTATGTTGACGACAAATAAAAAGTTCGTCAAGTTTTTATTTGTATCACATTACGCATTTATTATAAATGCCATAAATGTAATGTGATACAAATAAAAACTTAACGAACTTTTTATTCGTCGTCAACATTAATAATAATTAAATGGCAATTTTGGCGATCGATAAATGCACACATATATAGTCTCAATATTCACAGTGCAATTTCTCATTGTAAAGAGAATTTCTCGTACAAATATTCTNGACGCTCATCTATATTGAACATCTCCTTACGCGAAGCGCTGACACATCGGTCTGATCATCGATCTGATCGACTGATCATCAGTCACAAACGGAATATTTATACATGACGTATTGTGTCCGATAGTCATTGCTTCGGCAATATGTCGATTAATTGGCCGCGTCTGTCATCGTATATCGTATTTTACCTGTGTGCGCCAGCATCCCCATGACATCGTACTGTTTATCATCATACACGTGGCAACATTGATAATAAAGACAATGAAATTACATCACGTTCGCATGCGGCGACATAAGCCAGCATGCGCCTGAGGAAAATTGACACGGCCACTGCCTTATTACCTGCTTGACCCTGAGAATCACGACGTATAAGAGCGATCGTCGGCGCGATACCTGCGCATTTTGGTGCGTTTTTCGGTGTCGCACAGATCGTTCGATTTCGCGCGTCATCATCGGTAGTTTAACGCGTTTGTGAGCTGATACGACTCGTAACAATACGCCCCCCGGGACATCATGGCACCGGTAGACAGTGAGTACGAGGCAATTTTCTTAAGCGAAAGTGCATCTGTGATTATATACACAATCTGTCAATCTTCTCCTCGGCTGAAAATGTCACAGTGTTTTATACATCCGTAAAGAAACAGTTATACGAGTTATGTACGTTGAAAGGCACGTTAATTTATATTTAATACATGTTTTATAATTTAATAAGTAAAGCGCTATAGCTAATGTATCTTGAAGTAGAGCAAATTATATCTCGATGTAATGTGGCTATTCAGAGATTAATACACTTGATTAATTTAATTAAATTAAAATTAAAAGAATCATAAATGGGGTCTCTGAATGCTGAAAACATTTACATTTACGATATCACGTCAACTTTCTACTAAACCAGAATGTATGTCAGTGCACGTATAAAACTAGTGAACGGCCGAATACCATTCATATTTTCGTCTGTTTTTCAAACGCGCGTTTTAACTACGATCGTTTGCGTTGGCAAAGTGTTTCTATAAATTTTATTTCCTATTTTGACGTGTAAATCGATTCTCTTCGCTGTCACGGATTATGTCGGACTGTTTGGAATTATATCTTTGGTTAAGATGTAAGTAAAACTGGCTCCAGTGTAATCATTCAAGAAACATCTTGTCAATAAGCTCAATTGTTTTCTTTGCGATTATAACAGTATTGGCTATTAATCTGTGTGTAAGAGAAATTGTCAAAAAATTAAATAGACTTTTAAGAATCAAGTGTCGCAATTATATCGCTCCAGTTTTAGTGCAATTACTTTCAGTAGTTTGTAAATTCGTTATTTCGTTATAACACTTGTGTTAAACTTAGCATGTGTATAATCCTATACACATTACGTAATAAAAATTTGCTAACAGCATACTTTCGCGATCTTAAAACTTCACTCACGTTATGATGCTATACTTGATCGATTATGCAATGTATTATTTATGATCGCGCAATTTATATAACTGCTGTGCTTAAAAAATTTATGCTTTTTTTTTAACGAAAACAATTAAAAAATTATTCATGTATCTTATGCAAGATGTCACCGCGCGACACTCTGCATATAAAGGTGGGCTACATATTTTTTATTTGTGGTATATAATATCTGATATATGTATGTACATCAGAAACAGTTTCTTATATTAATATATGCACATAATAAATTTAAAATAATAGTGATAAAAGAAGTGATTTGTCAATGTTAAAATCGAGAATTCTTAGAATAATATACGATCATTCTGATATTTTCAAAAAACTTCGAAAGCAAGTTTGTAAAAATTTTTTCAGATTTCTTTCTTCACAGAGATTATATTTAGTGCATTCGGTATACTCTTCTACAAGCAAGTTAGACTCAAAACAAGTTTTGATCCCATGAAGCAATTTCTCTGTGGCCATGACACAGATGGAGCACGTAAAAAGGCATTCTTTGCCATACCGTTCCAAGATAAAATCTCCGCCTTGGAAATCAGAATTTTCGAGAGAAAATCTTTTTGTATTTTATGTTAATAAAATTGATACATATTCGAGAAAGCGGTATAGACGTATACAGGGTGTCCCCAATTTAAATGTCAAAACTTTAGGAGCGTGTAGGGGACCGATAAACTAAGACAAAAAGTCCTTTAGAGATTTGCTCGTTTTTGCTTCGTTTTGAAGAAAATCGCAAAAAATGAAACAAATAATTTTCACCAAAAAACTTAAAACAACACTAAAATTATTAGATTTATCAAAAAGTATTATAAAATAAAAATTGTAGAACATGGAATTAAGAAAAGAGAGTGAGTTAAAATCCTCCTGAGATAAAATTAGAGAATTGTAGATAAATACGCGACAACGCGAAATTTTCTAATCTAATTTTACCTCAAGAGGATTTTAACTCACTCTCTTTTCTTAATTCCATGTTCTACAATTTTTATTTTATAATACTTTTTGATAAATCTGATAATTTTAGTATTGTTTTAAGTTTTTTGGTGAAAATTATTTGTTTCATTTTTTGCGATTTTCTTCAAAACGAAGCAAAAACGAGCAAATCTCTAAAGGACTTTTTGTCTTAGTTTATCGGTCCCCTACACGCTCCTAAAGTTTTGACATTTAAATTGGGGACACACTGTATATTGTTAAAACAAATTATTATCTTCGCTTTTCGAATGTTCTAGAAGAGCGAGACGTTTCGTTCAAGCACAAAGGCTTCTGTTTTCGTTTAGTTTTTCTAATTCCGTCTTATGTATCGAACAGTCAAATTCGTGATAAACAGACGATCACTGATTAGTTCTCGAAATCGAACGATCGAGATTCGTGTTGTTATAGATCGCGGATCGACCGTGCTTATTGTCGGATCGGAAAGAACGTACTAATTTCAAATTAATGTGTGACTAGCTTTTCCGGGAACACATCGGAAAAGTCTTTACTGCGAACGGAAATCTCGCTCCTTCTCACGTACTTCAATTATCGCGCAACTTGTTGCCGGGAATCGAGATCTCGCGAATATTCTGTCGGTCCAGGAGTTGGGAGTCATATCTTCAATAAATTTTCTTATAGTATAAATGAACCTCCGACCCTTTTTGTCGAGTCTTTCCGATCGGCATTAAATAAAAATCTTTAGTGTAATCGTGTTAATCGGAGGCGCGGCTACAATACATGATACGAGTTTCTTCGGCATCATTCTATATTTTTTTTCATTTAAATGTCTTTGACCACAATTTGGAATTGATCTTTCTCTATGAAAAATAACGCAGTATCAGCGATTTCTAAGAAGCTAAAACATCTTGATATGTGCATATATTTGTATGAACGTAAAATTTGCCATAAAAGAGAGAGAGAGAGAGAGAGAGAGAAACATAAAGGAATTATACATTACTTGTTACATTTAATATTATTGATTCATATATCGCTTTTTGTTCGTATTTTATCACGAGACGTGCGACAGTTTCATTTATATTATATACAATAATGACATGGATAAAGTAACTCTTTAGTTCCTCACGTATGCGGAACATTACGTGGTCTAATTATGATTGATGGCAACAAATGACAAGAACGGATTACATTGTTTGATTTTATAATTGATATATAAAGAGCTCAAGATGAGAGACCAAAGCGCAAAATTTTAAATACGATTTTTTAAAGTGAACGTTATTATTATGAATTAAGTTATTTTTGCTGTAAAAACTTTACATAATTCATCCGACGCAATTTAATCGCTGTCAATTCAATTCTCATTTCTATTTTAGTATAAGAGCAACTAAATAATTTTCAAGAAATGCCACCTCCAAGAATCTCGGGTACATCGCGAGTTGATCCGAGAAAAATAATTAGCATCCCATTTTTCAACAGGATGGAGAGGTTTCACGGCGTACGAAGAAATATTTAACGTTCCATTTATGACACACCTTTATTTTGCGGAAAACACTTGTTTCTACTTTCTGTCCTGTAAAATCTTACGATTCGTCAAACGCGAGAAGTTCAACCGGTCAGACGATTCTTGTTTGCGAAGTCGTAAATGTTGAGCGATAAATCTCTAAAGATATAACTTCCTACCCAGTCTGTCTCATTTTCCTCATCTCACGGAGATATTGGATGTGTGCAAGAATGTTTGTCTTGTCTCTTTCTATTTTTCTCCCTCTCTCTCTCTCTCTCTGACAAACTAAATAGCGATCTATCGTTTTCTTCTGCGAAGATGTGACACACAATAATCAATATTGACTACATTTTATTCGCAGAAAATTGTTGAAGGATATAATTACAAAATTTTATTGTTAAATATTTTTTGCTACGATTTTATTCAAATGTTTTACGTTACCATTTAATTATATTATTGCACGAGAAAAATTAAAACGCAACGGCTTATGTCTAAAAAGATTATCATAAAGACTATCGTAATACCGGTCCTCGTCAAAATCGCGACGGAATCACTTAGTCAATATTCTAGGCTAATCCGCGCTATCTGCCGCTGTGCGAAAAACAGAGAAAAATAGAGGGAAATCTTGCGTGAAATTATTTTGATTCGTCTATAATGATGTTCGATATTCTAAAGACGCGTACGTCGTAAAATCACGAATTCAGACATGAGCCAATTGCGATTCATATCGTTTGCACTTCGTCTTAAATTGCGTTTACAAATTTGTTGACTTGCAGAAGCATTTAGGATGAAACTCATTTAGAGCACGCTCATTTAGAACGCGATAAGGCACATACAGCTGATAGGAACTGCCCACAACAATGCACGTGGTTCGTACTAATGATATCAGTTTATTAAGCGAAGTACACGTATACCGAGGAGCATACAATATCTTTGTGTATTATTATCTTTTAGTGTATAAACGTATCAATTGTAGCAATGTGCCGGTGACCGATAATTTACAAGTTTATCGAAATACTCTGCGCGAATTTCGTAAAAGTAAAATAAATTTAATGTCGAAATTTATGAGTATCTATAATTAACATTTTGCGCTTCTTACATAACGGCTTTCGACTGAACTTTAAAGAAAAAAAAAAGGTCAAGAAGTTATATAAATTACTAGTCTTGCAATTTATTAAAAGTGGCATCACATACTTTTTTTTCGATTGTGAAATCAAGGTTGCCGACAAGATTTGCTTCTTCCAAATCGCTAATTTCGATTTCGCGTCACGCATATCGCATATAATAATAATAATGACAATATTATTATCGCATGACAGTATCTGAAAATTGTCGTATGTATCGTATCAGTAAATAATAACGTAATTTCCTTGACACGGTTGTCGTACCTTCTTACGGCTTTCGTAATTTATTAAAGTTCTCCGGTCGAGACTCGTCTAATGGTCAAGGACGTAAATCGAGGATTCGTGAGGGAATTATATTGCGATTAGCGATACACTGACGGAATAGATTTGCTTAATAAAATTTTAATTGCCATTTATCTGATTCAGTTTAATAAACTCCAATACAATTTTAGCCAAAGGAAGCGATGTATAAATAAATGTTAAAATATGCAAATAATATAAAAAATGCTTTGTACACGTAACTTGTAAGATGGTTTTTAACCGACCCGCTTCTCGTTTATACATTCAAAAAGTATTTTAAATAAATGAAGAGAAAAGAACATTACTATGACTATGGCAGTCTTGGTTTAGTCAAATTTGTGATACTCAGACTCAGAAAAAAACTACGAAATAAATTCAAAAAAGAATGAATAAATAATGAAGAATATGAAACCAAATAGAACGTGATTATATTCGGCGGGAACTCAGTGATAATTCTATAACCACAGGTTCGAATGTTTACGATAAGAAAGCTGAGTCATGTTTCCAGTGATTGTTCATGAACATGATACGCCTGCGATTTCTGTTCTGCATCCTCTCCAAAAGTTGCAAATGACTGCATTACTCACTACATCCGCGATGTGTTAAATAATTAATGATTGCTCAAACACGCGCGCGCGAAAAACAAACTCATCTTGTTCCTCGGCACGACGAGTTTAACTGTATTGCTTGATTTTTTGCATGGTTTGATCATCGCTGTGTTCGCGTATGTTTTAAAGATATATCATGTGTCTACGTGTCATCAATTGTTATTTAATTTTTCTTATATTCTATTATTATCTCTTTTATTATAAGGAATGATGGATCCAGGAACTTGGTTTGAGAATGGTGAGAACATAAAGTTTGAAAACTTAAAGTTGTTTATGTTTGTCATCTAGTCTTGGAGGAAATGAATTACGAAAACACTAAATTAAATATTCTGCATTATGACATACTTTTAATATTGCATCAATTTAACCTATTAATTAAAATGCGTAATACTGTATAAAAAAGAGAAAGATAAATCAAAATGATCTGAATATAAGATTAGAGCAAGTTTCTTATCTACGTTTATGTAACTTGGAAACTACTTGCGTTAAAAATTTCATACATCGCTTCTATTTGCATTTTTGTGCAGACAAATTATTCTTGCATAATAGGAAGAAAAAAGGAAGAGAAACAATTTAAAATTTTTTTCCAAAAACTTATAATGTGGATGCAAAAACGGAATATTAATCATAAAAGCCGAAATAAGAAAATCCAAAGAGACGAATCGTTTAAAAATATCTCCCAAAATATATATGCATACATAAATTTTTGTATCAATAATTTTGTATAAATTTTCCTATAATTGTTATTCAGAATAAACTTCCTCTTTTTTATCTTCTTTTCTTAAGAATGTAAAAAAAATATATGTATAGATTTTATTAATTTTATGATTTATAATTATAATTCTCATAATTTAATCTTTATAGATTTAACCGATAACACATGAATCAATAAAAGAGACAATGTTTATAAAATTTTTTTCTTGCATTATCAGTGGCATTGAAATTAGCGCACCATTAGTTTATTTATAATTATAGAGTTACGAACATTTAGCATTATTCTTAAAAGATAACTGCGTAAGAAAAATCGGATAAATTATGTTTTTTTCAGACAACTTATTATCAGACTTAAAGGAAGTACCGTCCTTAAAAATCGGAAACAAGACGGTCGAGCTCGAGATATATCCTCCCAGTCCAGAATTTCAGGAAATAGCCAAAAAGGAGCTCAGGGAAAGCCCCGAAGTTCAAAAAGAGGCGATAGCACGCTTGAAGGAATTATTAAAAGGTTTTATATAATAACTAACGTAAAAAAAACTTAACAAAATAATATACAAAATAAATATAAAATTTTATACATATATATAAATAGAGCAATATCTTAAATGACGCAAGCTGAAAAAGTTTTGATTCTCACAATGTTTAACGTGAAAAAATGTCTAAAAAATGCGTTTCCGAATCTTTTCAAATGTATTAAATGTTTTTGCCATTGTTTAAAATCTTTCTCGTGATCCGACAGCGGAGACGGATCTCAAATGCCCGTTGGACAACGACGCCTGGCTGATAAGGTTTTTGAGGCCATGCAAGTATTATCCCGAGTCGGCGCTCAATCTCGTCAAGCATTATTATAGCTTTAAAGTAAAGCACGCAAACTTGTACGACGGTCTCAAACCGAGCAGAGAGAAGAACATATTTGATCAAAATATCCTGACGGTGTTGCCTACTCGCGATCAGCACGGCCGACGCATGCTAATAATCGAGTTCGGCAAGAAATGGAAGCACCAGAAATGCAGTCTGGACGAGATCTATAAAGGATGCGTACTATATCTGGAGGCTGCCATTCTGGAGCCGACCACGCAAATCGCCGGCGCGGTCGTCGTCTTCGACATGGACGGTCTCACCCTCCAGCAAACGTGGCAGTTCACCCCGCCGTTTGCCAAGAGGATAGTTGATCTAATTCAGGATTCGGTGCCATTGAGATTAAAGAACTTACATGTCATTAACCAACCATATGTGTTCAACATGGTGTTTGCTCTGTTCAAGCCATTCCTACGAGAGAAGTTAAAGAGTAGAGTAAGTTCTTGGCGTATATGATTAAATAAATACTTACACAATTCAAGTTTGCTAAACGATGCTTATATATATATATATATATTTGTTTTTTCTTTTCTTCCGCTAGATAATCTTCCACGGTACTGATCGAAAGTCATTGCATCGATACATATCGCCGAAATGTCTGCCGTCTCATTACGGCGGTACCATGGATGTCCCTTTGATAGATGGACCGATATGGTACGAATTGCTAGTCCAGTGCGACAAGGAATACGAGGGTAAGTGTAAAAAGAATCTTACATAATTATCTAAATATTTAAGTATAATAGAATTGAGGGAAAATTTAGAACCTATTTGATATGATATGCTCTGATATAAGGAAACTCTAATTTTTCAATACTATAACTCGAAAGAATTGAACTATAATGATCTCTCTCTTTTGTTGCAGCTATTAATTCGTACGGTTACAAAAAGAAATAGCCTCTCGTTTAATTTATCACCATTAAAGATAAGTATTTGGATTTAGACTATTGGGAAAAAATTAGAAAAGCGATATTTTGCGATGCAAAGTGTCGAGTTAGAAATAATTACGACGATTATGGATCATTCTTGTTCACTCGTTGAAACCAACGATCCAAACCTTGCTCACTATGTAATTTTATTTATAATATATTGTAGCGTAAAGTCTTCTTCTACTTCTTTTATTAAACAATAGTCTTAACAGACTACCAATTTATAAAATTAAGCGAAAAGTTGCGAAAAATGACAATGCGTTGCATTGTGTATTTCTTGTACTTTCTTTACAATTTTGATACTGCAAGAATTACGATTTATTAGGTAACAGTGATCTCATCTGAGATATATAATCTTTCTATCGCCCCTACAATTATGCGTGATAAGATTATTGTACATTCCATAGATTTCTTATACTGGTGCATTACAATGTGGTATAATTATTGGCCATATATTACATATACAATAAATACCAATGATCTTAGAATAATTATTTAATTTATGAAATAAAAATAATCTTTTAACTTGAGAGAACAGAAAAAAGTACCATATTTTTAAATATTTCTTGCGCATGGAAAATATGTTAAGAAATATGGCATTCTTGTGATTTAGCGCAAGAGAGATACAATTTTACTATTTATTTAAAACTGTATACACAAATTAATATACTTGGATATATACAATAATTGTACATTTGGTATATAATTTCTTGGTGCAGAAATAAATCCGTATTAAAAAATTGTTATTGATTTAATATCTATGTATGTAATAAGTTAAATACATCTAAATATCAAAAATACACATATTTATCATTTGTGTTAGTTGCTAATACACGGTTATATGTTGACGGTATCAATGAAAAGTATTATAACTGCATTTTCGAACATTTATGTGAATATTATAAAAAAAATTCGTAATTCTCATTCACTAAATTAAATATTTATTTAATATTATTATTTATTAAATTAAATATTTTTTTAATATTATTATTTATTAAATTAAATATTTATTTAATATTATCTATTATCTATTATCTTCTCCCCCTCCCCCTTCCCATTGAAATACACATAAACAATCTTTGGAAAGAAAAAGCATACAAATGATACTTCTAAAAAATCACAGTTTTGTAAGTCGCAATATTTTTTATTGATGCCATCAATGTGACACTTAGTGTTCTTCTCGTGCAATTTCAGATCAACAACGTATATTTGCTGTAATAACGGCAAATTATATTCGTAATTTCCAAGAATGAGGTGTCAACGATGTCAGCAATTTATATATTGCAACTTCACACGTATAGTTGCTAATCATAATCATAATGACGATGATTGGCGATGATAACGTAACAATCGGTTATAAACAATGGCTATTTTATATTATTATCCGTTTTATATCCGTATTGTTGGTCAACTGAAACAAAATACTGATTTTGTCAATACAATGGTATGCATAATATAGCGAAGATTTGATTAATTTAAATTATAATCATGGTTCAAATCGATGCACATTTTGTTTGTACGAGTATCATCGAAATCGAAATTACCAATTATGTAGATAATTACCTTCGAAAAAGGATTCGCATAAAAGTATACTTTCCCAAAGTGTCATACCGAATGGCCCCTCGGGCATATCTAATTCGCCCCCATGCCTCTTAAGTAATGCTTTTTGATCTATGTAAATCATTAAACTCTCCCAGTTCGTCCCGTGAAAATGAATCCTTTTGCGAATCTTCTCCTGTAAACAATAATATATATTTTCTTTTTCTTATAGATTTTATAAAAAAATATTTGTAAAGTTTCAAGTTTATTGGAAATTTATTTTGTCATATGATTTATATAATAATGAATTATATTTGGCTCTGTCAGAAAACCATGTACCTCTAGAAATGGTTTGAAAATTGCGAATGCCATGTTGAAAAAGAAAGACTGTTTTACAATATGGATACTTTTAAAGCGAATGGGCATACACTTCTGTATAAACTCAAGCAGCATTTTGGCGAAACTTGGAGTAATATACGTCACATGAGACAGAGATAAACCCTCCGCATCTATGATGACGCGCGCACCCGAGATCTGAGAAACCGAATAAAACTCAGCAGTTAAACAATTTTCAACGACTTTTCTTACAAAAATTTATCGGTAAATTTAAGGATAATTTAAAATATTTACTTATAAATATGAATCTTTATATCAAATAAAAAAAAGAACGATTTTTCGATGGCAAACCTGATTTTTAGGTTCCGCCACAGCCATGTACAGCATTATTATCAAGCCTCTCAAGAGTGTATTCAGTGACACTTCCTTTGGATTCCATCGTTTACCTCCCTCTATTATTAATATTCTGCTTCCGTCTTTAGCGCGAAACGGTAATGGATAAATCAAATTGGCGCAAAATGCCGTCTTCTCTTTACTAGGCAACAAATCGGCATATATATGCGGATAGTTTAGGCGGAACCGATAATACCGTTTCATCTGAAATAAAACACAACATGAAGAATTTGAGTAATTTAATGTCAATTATAGAGTGTGCCTCTCGAAATTGATTGTATATATTTTGCACGGTTTCTTTGATGAATCTAGAGATTATTCTTCCTCGACAAAAATGTCGAGGAGGATTATTACTTAGGATATTCTTTGCTAATTTCTAATATAGAGTATAGAATTTAATAGAACGTTATGAATTTTAAATTCGTTTTTAAATTTCAACGAAACTGTTATTAATATCCTTAGATTGAGTGAAAATTATTTTCTTATCAAAGTTTTCGTTTTTAAATTTTAATTTTTAAAGAGCTCCTCTTGTCTATTCAATAATTAATTACGTGAAAATTGTAGCTGGCTTCATATTTTCGTTGAAGAAAAATTAATCTTAATCTCAAATTAGAGCCAGAATTCATACAAAGTTTTAAATAATGTGTATAATATGGCACATTTAATTCATGCACAATCAATTTTATATAAACACACATAGTAATATTAATTAGTTATATTTATGATATTATTTTAGTGAAATTAATTAATAATAATAATAATATTTCCATACAAAAAATGTTCTGACTTACAAGCGAAAAAGCACTTTTCGGATAATATTTGCATGGCCGCAAAAACATTTTATAAAATTCTTCGTCATTAGGTACTTTTAGATCAGGTTCCCCTAACAAAATAAAAATTAATTAACTCAATTTAAATGCATTATTGCTATTAGTTAAACATTAAGAAAAAAACATATGATCGAGATGTGTGTGTGTGTGTGTGTGATACGGTTTTAATAATAACGGAAAAAAGATAAATTCGATAGTTTAAATCATGCAATAATGGATATACAAAATATTTTGCGTATAATTTATGAGGAGGATGTACTATAATAATGCAAAAAAACATCAATATCAATTATAAAATAATCTCACTTCTTTTATAATTGCAAGTGCAAAAAAATTAATAGACAATAATAAAAACACATAATGTTATCACATAACAGCGGAAAATATACAAATATTTGTTTCCATGAGACTTACTTTGTCATGCTATTATAATTACAAATTATTAGTTAATTATGTTAATGACGGTTACATAAAAGACATTTAGTTTAGACATTCTTATTAAAGAGCCACCAAGCAAAAAATTCCGTCTTTGCACTTAACATATTTCAAAAAATAATGATCAATTATATATTTCGATAAAACTTGCGTATATTCTTCTTTTTACGATGAAAGGTAGAGAAACATTGGAAATTATCAGTGTAAGCGCGATAAATTTTCGTTTTCACTCAATTCACGCCAAAGTGATTAAATTCATATGTTACGTTGGATACTTTTACTATCGTTAAATTGAGCGTTGTGTTACGTTATGAGTGGTAATAGCGTGCTACAATTAATCTTTATTCTAGAAGCATTCAATCTGACGTTGTTCAAGCTAATCTTTCTTTTTAAATAAAAAAAAAGTTAATCGATCGTTATTTCACGATTTAAACGATTTTCTATGATATGTGAAACCGATTTATATATTTGAGTCACGTTATAAATATAGAAACTACAATGTATGCTTCACATTAAAGATTATATAAAAGAGAAAGTTTTCTCATTCCACTTGTCATCGCATCTTTTTACGAATTATTTCTTTTCATTTTCCCTTTAAAATCTGCAATATTGAAGCCTAGCAGCATTATTCATTGTAATAACGTCTTTTTAATTAATTAATTTAATAAAAAAATTTGCGATATATATATAT